GCCCCAAAGCAGTAGTGTACCGTGAAAAATGTGCGTTTGTGTTTGTCAATGTGACAGTGACGGGCAAAATAATTAACAACTCTTCTACTAGGTAAACACAGATGGCTATTAAAACTAAATGATGTGTTTCTTTCTTTAATTCCTGGGGTACACCAGTATTGTGTTTTTAACTAAACAGGCTTGTTTTTCAAACCAACTCTTTTTCTTTTCTAACAGCTTCTCCTGAGATTGTTGGCCACAAGCGTAGTGAGAACAAGAATGAGGGGGAAACAGCCGTGCTGTACTGTAAGTCTCTGGGCTATCCTCTCCCTGTGTGGACCTGGAGGAAGTTTGAGAATGGTGTTTTTCGGGTATGTCACATAGTATTTTTCTTTTCTTTACCAGTGATTCCCAATTACTGTGCCGTGGCACATTAGTGTGTAGTGAGAGGTCATCAGTTGTATCTCAGAAATCTAAATAAAATAAATACATCTGATTATTCGTGGTTGTGTTCAACTTCACAGGGCCAGGTTTCACACCGAGTTAGTTATTAGAATATATCTTAAAGAACTATCTTTATGTTTCCTTACATGCCCAAGAGTCACTGACTTGAATGCCTTCATTCATCTTCCTGGGCAGGAAATTGACAACAACACTGAACGTCACTCTATCAGCAGCAAAGACAACTACACCGAGCTCCAGATCACCACTCTGGATATTATTGCAGACCCTGGAGAATACCACTGTAACGCCACTAACATCATTGGCAGCCGTGACGAAAAGTCTATCCTGAGAGTTCGCAGCCTGTTGGCCCCCCTGTGGCCACTGCTGGGGGTTTTGTTTGAGATCATCATCCTGGTCATCATCATTGTTGTTTACGAGAAGCGTAAGAAGCCAGAAGACTTACAGGACGGTGAGTCACCACTTATAAAACAAAACAACTTCGTTTGTTTTTGTTTTAATGGCGTCCCACTTGATCCAAGCAGTAATTGGTTTTACCGTAAAGGTGTTGACGTCTTTGCGTCTTTAGTTTTGCCAAAGATGTCACCACCAGAGTCACCTGACCCTGTGCTGGGCCTTAACTCAATAATTCAGCCTGGCAAGGTTGACCCAACAGGCAGAAACTGTTGCAGGAGGTCGCACCTTGTCAGGACAATTTCATCCATTTAATATTCATGAGGAATATGATACTGCAGTGTTGCAGTGTGGGCGCTCTTAATTATTTACATCTTTCCAAGGACCTTGTGCCGTACCCAAGCTGCTGCCACTTTACCCAGGAGACCTCATTCAGCTCCACAGCCTGTGTTTGTCATCCTGGCATTCTTTTAATAAGACCCGGCCATTTGCTTTATCGTAAATTATGTATTAATGGTATTTGGACGACCTTTTTCTCTCAAACAGAATTTTGATGTTGCCACTCGCTGATTAGAGATATCACACAGTGGCTGACTAATGATTCATGACTCTGAATATATTCATATTGTGACTCATTACGTGGTTGGAAATGAATGATCCATTCAGATTATAATGCATATTTAGCATCTGAAATAGAAATACAAAAAAATACCATTTTATAAAGTGTTGCTGTTGTAGTTTGATCGTGATTTAAAGCATATAGTGTTAACTGTCAAGACAAAATCAGCTTCCTAAGAGAAAACTTTTAATTTGGGTAAAAAAAAATAACCCAAGAACATCACAGCGGTGAATTTCTTTTTAGGTCAATAAATGGGGGCATTTCATGCTCTTCTAAAATCCTTTTTTTTTTT